CTCTAGAAAAGACCCTGATGCTGGGAAAGATTAAAGGTGGGAGGAGAAGGGGATGGCAGAGGATGAGATGGTTGGATGGTACTCAATGGGCATGAGTTTGAGTAAGCTCCAGGAGCTGGTGATAGACAGGGAAGGCTGACATGCTGCAGTCCATGGGGTCGCAAAGAGTCAGACAGGACTTATTGACTGAACTGAACTGAATACCCTCTTTCTTAAAACCTCATGTCATGGTTATTGTCATGGTCTGGGCTTGGGGGTCAGGTTGATTGCGCTCGGGTAAACCAGCTGCCGTAACACACAGCCCCTAAATCTTGGTGGCTGAACACAATGAGAGTTAATTTCCCAGCCCTGTTGCCCAGTACAGAGGTGAGCAGGTGAGCAGGGGTGCACTGCTCCATGCAGACACCCTGGGGCCCAGGCTCCTTCTACTGAGTGGGTCCCCCATCCCTGAGAGATTCAGAGGCTTCTGCTGGGTCCTCTGTGAATGTCCAGCCTGCAGGAAAAGGGAGTGAATGAGGAGAAGGTCCAGGAACTCTTAACATCTCTTCACACATCCTTGGTGAGAAATGGTCCTATGAACCCTTCCGCCCCCCCCCCATACACACCCCCAGATTCAAGGGACTGAGGTGTGTGACGTGGCAGTGTAGGCAGGAATAGGAAGAGGGTAGATGCTGTGATCTCGGGCAGGCTCTGCAGTCCCAGTGGATTCAGAGCAGCTTTCAGATGCATCACTTCACTCCAAAGTTTTCAGCTCTGATGAAACATCACAGAATGGCTCCAGGTGAGCCAAGGAGGGGGAATACAGATGGAGACATACTTAGCAGTCAGTCAATGTTGATGCCACATCCTCACCTCTCCCCTGGTTCAGTCTTTCCACATGTACCTGGGGGTACTGATGTGATCATCTTTGTGTTTTCCAGACTAAGAACAGGGATAGAGTTGTCCATGTTTAAGAGGTGGGCTCTGGAGTCCCACTGCCTAGATTTGAGTCCTGACCATAATGGAACCTTGGGAAAGTCCCGTGGCTGTACCTCAGATTCATCTGCCCAGGAGACAAGTCAGAACACAGGACCTGTCTCAGAGGGTTGCCGAGGGGACGGGTTCATGTGTTTCCAGTTTTTAGACTAGTGCATGGCACGTGGAGAATGTGATGTATGGGTTCCCTATTTTGATTATTGTATGATGCCCAGCCTGTAGCAGAAACTCAATTTAATACACACACACTCATCTCAGCACCTGCTCTGTACTGGGCACTACCAGTCCGTGCCAACATACTCCATGAATCTCTAGCCTGATGAATGAGTCATGCAGTGAATTAGCTCAACAAGCCTCATCGCCTGGCTCCTGCTCTCACATATGCTTTGGGGCTGCCTTTCATCTTGGTTTTGGCTGAATTCACACCCAAAGACTAGTGTTTACTTGCTAAAGGCGTCGCTTTTAAACCAGCTTTCGGGGACTGTTGGAGACGTGTTTCCACAGGGGGCAACTCTGCCAGGCTTCTCCAGCCCCCTGCAGACGCATCCGTTCTCCAGCTTCCCCAAATTGAAATAAGAAGCGTCTGCAGAGACTCCCAGAGCAGCGCCTAGCAGTGGGAGATGTGAAAGTTGCCTCTTCCCCCACCAGGCTCCTGAGTGCTTGGAAACGAAAAGAGAACATTTCCTCCCAAACAGCATCCTTTTAGTTTCTGCATGTAAACTCAGGATGCTGGTCCTTGCTGCAGGCGTGGGAAGACAAGGCTGTCGAGAGCAGGCATCAGCAAGACTTTTCCCAGTGCAGCCACTGGAATCCGTGCAGGACTGTGGTAGGGACCAAGTCACATCCAAGAATGACCTTCAATGCCGGAAGGACTCCTGATTATTGGGTTAGAGACCTGAGAAGTCCTGGGCACTCACTCCATCTTCTCTGGAGGGTCTGAACCCTGTTGGTAGTCCTGGGGGCATCCTGTGAAAGTGAAACAAAGGGAAGTCACTCAGTCATGTCCAACTCTTTGTGACCCCATAGACTACACAGTCCTTGGAATTCTCTAGGCCAGAATACTGGAGTGGGTAGCCTTTCCCTTCTCCAGGGGATCTTGCCAACCCAGGGATTGAACCCAGGTCTCCCACATTGCAGGCAGATTCTTTACCAGCTGGGTCACAAGGAAAGCCCAAGAATACTGGAGTGGGTAGCCTATCCCTTCCCCAGCAGATCTTCCCTACCCAAGAATTGAACCAGGGTCTCCTGCATTGCAGGTGGATTCTTTACCAACTGAGCTATGAGGGAAGCCCAACTGCCTTCCTGCGGCCCCTCCATCCCTCTGGCTTAGTGCTAACCATGCTGTTTCTCGCCCTATACTTGGCTTCCTGAGGGGTGTCCTCCTTACAGTCTTTGGGGCCTGACAGGGCAACTTAACAAGGACCTAATCAGTACTGATCTTTAAACCTGTTAATGTCCTGGGCTTTCCCTGGTGGCTCAGTGGTAAAGAATCCACCTGCCAATGCAGGAGATGGGTTCAATCCGTAGTCCGGGAAGATCCCACATGCCACCGAGCAATGAAGCCCGTGAGCCACAACGATTGAGCCTGTGCTCAAGAGCCCGTGAGCCACAACTACTGAGCCCATGTGTCGCAGCTGCAGAAGCCCACGTGCCCTCGAGCCTGTGCTTTGCAACAAGAGAAGCCACAGCAATGAGAAACTCAGACAGCGCAACTAGAGAGTGGCCCCCTTTCGCCACAGCTAGAGGAAAGCCCACGCGGCAACGAAGACCCAGCACTGCCAAAAATAAACAATAATAAAGGTGTCTGATGTTTGACAAAAATGGTGTGATGATGGTTTTAAAATAAATAAACACATGTCCTGTTGGATTTAGCTGCTTCACTCTCATACCTTCATCATGAAATGCGAGTCACGGGTGGGTGGTTGTATTCAAGCTCTGAAGCCAGGCAGACTTTGCAAAAATCCTTCTCCACCACTTACTAGCCATGTGGGTAAATACCTTACTCTTGGCTCCCTCCTCTGTAAACGGGGGTGTCAACCACTTGGGTTCTCATGAGTATGAAATAGAATTATTTATGTGTTTTGGTAGAGTTTCAAGAGTTAGACACAATAGCAAGTTTGTCTGATTGAAGCTAAAAAAAGAAGGCATTGAAAAAATAGTGAGCAGCTCCCAAGATGGGTGGGAGGGCTGGCGAGCCAGGCTCAGAATCTCTGCAGGGAGAACAGATATATTCTTTTTCAGATTCTTTTCCATTATAGGTCATTATAAGATATTAAAACTAGTTCCCTGTGCTCTACGGCAGGTTCTTGTTGTTAATCTGTTTTATGTAGGGTAGTATGTATGTGTTAATTCCAAACTCCTAACTTACCTCTCTCCACCTCCAATATCCTCTTTGGTAAGTAAGAGGAGTTTTTTAGAAATGGATTTGCTGGGTTCTAGGTTAGGATCTTCAACTTGACTAGGTAATGCCAAACTGTTTTCCAAGATGACTGTACAAATTAAATTCCCACCATCAGTGTACCAGAGTACACACTGCTAGTCACTATCGAACCCTTACCAGACCTGTTCATCTTTAATTTCCCTGGGGATTGGGTGATCTCCATACAGGTACTGGGTGCTGCTCTGAGTTCTTGGGTGATCTAATGACAGCCTGAGACATCAGTGTTGTCACTCACATCTTGCAGATGAAGAAGCCCAGGTTCAGCTGGCTTAAATCATTAGCAAATCATGGTACTGGGATTCAAGCCCAGGCCTGTGTAACCAGACCCTATGCTTTTTTCTGCCATGCTATAACACTGGCCATTATTGGAGAGGTCTCTGGACCTTTTCGGTGTACCCATGGGGAGCTATGTGCTTCTTGGAGATGGAACTCTCATGGGGAGCACAGTTCATGACCTCAGTCTTTGGTGTATATCAGTCACTTAGTCCCATCCCAAACCCACTGAGTCTGTGTGTGTGTGTTGGGGTGGGGGGAGAGTCTAGTGAGCATGAAGTGGGCATCTTATTGTGGTTTATTTAAATAATTTTTAAAATTTATTTTTGGCTGTGTTTAGTCTTTATTACCCCGCAGGCTTTGCTCTGCTTGCCCTGAGCTAGGGCTATTCTTCATTGTGATGGGGGCGTGTCTCATTGCAGTGGCTTCTCTGGTTGCCCAGCACAGGCTCTAGGGCACGCAGGCTTCAGTAGCTGTGGCACCTGGGCTCTGCAGTCTCAATAGTTGTGGCGCATAGGCCTTTTACTCCATGGCATCTTCCTGGACCAGGGATCGAACTATGTCTCTTGCATTGGCCGGTGGATTCTTTACCACTGAGCCACCAGGGAAGCCCTCACTGTGAGTTTAATTTACATTTCTGTGTTACAAAACATGTGGACCATTATGTCATTAGCTTCCTGGTCAGTTGAATTTGTTTTGGAATCTGTTCAAGTCTTTGACTCTTTTCTACTTGTATTGTCTTCTTATTGATTTGTTAGAACTCTTTACATATTGTGACTACAAATCCGTTGTATTTACATGGGTTGCAAATTTGTTAGCTAAGTTGGTGGCTTGTCTTTCCAGTTTTCATGATGCCTTCTGAAGAGCAGAACACTCTAAGTCTGAGGAAATCCAAATGAACATTTTGTTTTTCTTTTGTGGTTTTTTCTGTGTGTGTCTTGAATCTTTACCCACCCCAAGATGGCAAATATTTTCCCTTCTTTAGGTATGAACATTTTAAACACATTTCCAAGGTGATTCTGTTGTGTGGTTCCCCTTGGTTCAGAGTCAGATCTAAGTTTAACTCCCAGGTTTGCCACTCAGCTGAACAAGTCAGTTTGTCTCTCTGAGCCTCAGTTTCCCTACCTACAAAAGGATGTAAAAATAAGGTCCATCCACAAAGTTTGTTAGAAGGATTCAATGAAACAGAGCTCAAATAGAGCTTAGTGAAATGCCTGGTATGAAATCAGTGTTCCATAAAAGTAATTTTGTTTATATACAGATAGGCTTCGAGCAGCTGGGAGGAATAACATGGTTTGTTGTTTGTTTCCAGTACATCAAGGCCTTTTACAATGAGTCATGGGAAAGAAAGCGTGGACATCCCCTAGACTCAGACACTCTGACTCTGCTCTGGTCTGTGACCGTGTCCATATTCGCCATCGGTGGACTCGTGGGAACGTTCCTGGTGAAGATGATCGGAAAATTTCTTGGGAGGTCAGTGGGGGCCCCTCTGCAATGTCCATACTATGTCTGTATTAGAAGCAGGATTGCAGCAGGCAACAGGGTTCCATTCAGCCAGCTGAAGAGATTGTAATGCCAGAAGGACAAGGAGCGGAAATAGGGTACCGGAGGCCAAGGAAAAGTGAACCCAGGGGTGAGGGGCAGGTGCTGAGGCTGTGGAGGCACCAGGCTAAGTCAGGACCCTACTGTCCAAACAGGGAGGAGCTGGGAAGAAATACTCTGGATTTTCTGTCTGCTGGCCCTCCAGTCTGCCACAGGCGCCTCTCATTGGTCAAACCCAAGCGGAAGCCTGAAAACCCAGGAGTCTCATTGGTGCGGCTCAGGAGGACCAGCTCCAGGGCTCAGAGCAGGGAGGGGAGAGTGGAGAGGGACCCAGATGTGGGAGCAATTGGACAAGAGTCAGCACAGTGTCTTAGAGACTCTTCCACAGAAATATCTATAGAGCTGCTTTTTAAAAATCAGTTTTTCAAACAGTCCTCTATTGTATGAGTGGATGATAGTTTATTTAATCAGCTCCTGACTGAGATACATTTAGGCCATGTCAAACTCTTCCCATTACAAACACAGCTGCCACGAATATCACTTTCATGTTGAAATTCCCCAACATGAACCTCTCCAATCAGATCTGCTTTACCCATGTATTTCACTTGTCTTTTATTTTCTATGTGAAGCCTTCTCTCATGTAAGGTTGAAATATCAGTAAGTTCCCCCAAACATTTGCTCTGTCTCCTTGCTCATAGCAACTTCCTGGGGATGCTGAGGTGTTTAGTGGAGAGAGTAGAGTCTTTAGAGCATTGATATGTGAAGTTGAATCATGAGTCTTCTACTTCCTGGCTGTGTTGACATTTGAACCTCAGGTCTTTCATCTGTGCAATAGCGACAAAGAGTTCCTACCCTGCAGGTGATGCTGTAAGGGCTAGAGAAAATTAATGGGGGATAATGGCCCATTAGCTCAATGAAGAGAAGCTATTACTATCCACCATATTATTTTCTCATCATCACCTTGACATAGCAGGGGGTCACCCAAACATAATAAAGTGAAAGAAAGAAAGAAAGTGAAGTCACTCAGTCATGTCTGACTCTCCATGACCACATGGACTGTAACCCACTGGGCTCCTCCATCCATGGAATTTTCCAGGCAAGAGTACTGGAGTGGATTGTCATTTCCTTCTCCAGGGGATCTTCCTGACCCAGGGATCGAACCCAGGTCTCCCGCATTGCAGGCAGATTCTTTACCAGCTGAGCCCCAAGGGAAGTCCACAAGGGAAGTTCCCATGGGGAAACATAGCAGGGAGTCCACAAATCTCCATATTGCGTTGAATTGGTGCAGAGATGGATCAGACCCCTGGAAATCCCTCTGGGCTTTGGGGTTACAGAAAGAAACACTGTTAAGAATGGTGCTACCCACTACTTTATACCTGGCCTCACATCTTCAAATTAGGGTTGGTGATGTTCAGAGCAGACTTTTCAAAGGCTGGAGCAGGAGGTCATTCTGAAATTCTGAAAAGAAATCCTTGTGATGCTCATAAAGGTCTGCGATACCCCAGTGAGGTAGAGCAGGTGCCAACATTCTCCATGTCCCCCAGGCCGCTTCCAGGGCAGTAGCTATGGGAACTCAGCACACAGGAGATAGTGTGGGATAGTCAGGGTTTTCTGAGGCCCCTCTGTGTTCCAGGCACTCACACCCACTGTCTTACTTAATTCTCTCTACTCCACGGGGTCTATCCACAGAGAATGGGAATGAACGAGGTCCGAGCATCTGGCCAAGCTCAGCCAGCTCACACGGTGCCTGAGTTCACGCTGGAGCCAATACATGTCAGCCATGGCACCGTGATCTTTCCACTTGCCCAGGAGATTGTAGTTAGTGTCCTGCTGGCAGTGGTTTGGGGATATCCTTGACTGTTCGACAAGGAGTAAGTGACCAGCTGACCTTCAAATCGGCACCCCTTTCCAGGATCTCCAAGGCCCTGTTGCTAAGTTTACGGCCGCAGTCTTCTCACGTATTCCTGTAGATGGAATCGCCTCCAGCCCCAGACTCTATTGCCGGTGACACACACTTACCTTATATCTGCCTGTGGGCACTTATACTGTAAGGCTGCCCCAGCATCCAACTTATGTTCCCTTGCATCATTGTCATCCCATCCCCTTCACCCTCAGCTCTTCCTGAGGGGCCTGATGGGGCCAATGGTGAATAGATTCCTTCAGTTGCACTCAGATTGGCCTCCTTCCCATATCATTAGATCTAGTTCTTCCCTCTGCAGTGGAGAAAGCATGTGGGAAACCATAGGGAAACTCACTCTGGCTTTGAAATCAGATCCTCAGTCAGATTCTCTAGCAAAGTCATGGCTCATCCATTCAGCACACTCTTCTGAGCACCTCTGGGGAGCCAGGCACTGTGTCTGCACTTAGCAACACACAGAGAGACAACGCCCGCAGCCTGGGGTTGGAGCTCTGGGCCGCAGAGGAGGCAGGCCCACGACAATTCACTGTGCAAGTCGTTCTGACTGTGGGAAGGGCCGTGAACAGGCGGTCGAGGACAAGGAGAGGCAACGAGTGCCCCCTTCGCTTCCAAGTCTGTAAAGCTCAGATAAGCGACCCACCTGAGAGGTAGCTCTGAGAGTGACTGAGATAAGATTCACAGAAGTCTCTGTCACTCAGGACTCCCCGAGTCACTTTTTAAATGGCAGGAACCCATATCAGACTGGTTTATGCCTTAGAGGGAGTTAGTTGGCTCACGTGGCTGAAATATAATTCAGTTGAATCCAATAGCTCCTATAATGTCATAAGAAAAGGCATCTGTGTTCTCTCCTCTCAGCTCTTCCTTGCTGTGTTGGCTTCATGAACAGGTGGCCTCTGCCCATGTGGGGGCGAAGTGGCCCAAGCCACTTAGACAGATATGGTTCCTACTGAACATTCCTGCCACAAACTTCTTCCAACAGTCCTCATACAGGCCCCAGGCATGAACCTCACCTCCCTAAGAGAGCTTGCAAACTGTCAAGACTCTTCAAAAGGAGCCAACTCTACCCCATTAGGGACATTTGACAATGTGCAGAGATACTGCAGGTTGTCAAAGCTGAGGGCTGTGACTGGTAGCTCCTAGAGGCCAAAGTCTCAAACAGAGGGAGTCAGCAAACCCAAAGCACAGAGCTTCTCCAGTACACGTGATTTGCGCATCACCAGTTGGTTTTAAGGACATAGTCTGCTTGGTATTAAATGTGCATGAACTGGGAAGTGACAGTTAAAAGTTGTAAGAAACCTTTCCTCTAGCTCCAACCCACTGCCCACCACACATCTGCTAGAAACAATGCTGGCCTCCTCTGAGCTCACAAAGTACTTCATGTTTCCCTCTGTTACATCACTTGGCATTTGGGGTTACAATGATTTAGTTACATTTCTGTCTCCCCTGAAAGGCGAGCTCCTCAATGTAAGAGCCGTGTCTGTACATGAGCCCCAGCACATGGCACCGGAGCTTGTACGCAGTAGGCAAGCAGCAAACATTTGTTGGGTGTATGAAAGGATGGAGGGAAAGTGCTCAATGCTTGAACATTTTCCAACATAACTCCCCCAAATGACCATCCTTCTCTTGCCTGCATGCTTTTTATTCACCCATACATTTATTTTTCTCAACAAATATTCATGGAGAGCTTTCTATGTACCAAGCACTTGGTGGTGCACAAAACTGACACAGTCCCTGGGGTAACAGTTCTCTAGGCAGAGGGGACAGGAAGTGCAAAGGTCCTGGGGGAAGAATGGGCTTGGTTCCTTTGAAGGTAAGACAGGAGATCAGTATGACTGGGGCTGAGTCCAGGAGTAGAAAATGAAGCAGGAGGGGTCACTGGGGTCAGAGGCGGAAGACACTGTGGGGAAGGGTTGGGACTCCAGCTTTGACTCAGAGTAAGATGGGAAATGACTGGAGTATTTTGTGATCTGACTCACAGTTTGCAAGGCTTGCTCTTATCAGTGGACTCAGGGAGTCTGGTTAGGAACATCCTGCCATAAGTCAGGTGACGTGATTCATTTTGCACCAGGTTTGTCATTAGACACAGAAAAGGTGAGAATTGTTTGCATTCTGGAAATAGTTTGGGAGTAGAGAAAACAAGCCCTGCTCATGGACTATGTGGGAAGCAAGAGAGAAATAAAAAATCATGCTAACATTTTTGTCTTGATCAATCACAAGGAGCAAGGATTGTGTTGCTTTTTTTAAAAAAATTAGTTTTCTATTGGAGCAGAGCTGATTAACAATGCTGTATTGGTTTCAGGTATACAGCAGAGTGATTCAGTTATACATACATACATATCTATTCTTTCTCAAGTTCTTTTCCTATTTAGGGTATTACAGAATATTGAGCAGTTGCTTTTTGCAGTAGGGAAACCCTTGAGAAAAACAGGATTTGGGGGGAAAGGAAGAAACAATACTGGAATGAATCTCACCTCCCTAAGAGAGCTTGCAAACTGTGAAGACTCTTCAAAAGGAGCCAATTCTACCCCATTAGGGACATTTGACAATGTGCAGAGATACTGCAGGTTGTCAAAGCTGAGGGCTGTGACTGGTACCTCAGTTTCAGGTATACTCCATTTGAATTGTCTGTTAGCCCTTCCAGTGGAGATGTCAAGGGCACAATTAGATTTGTGAGTCCAGCACTCCGGAATGGCCAGAACTCAGATGTAAATCTAGATGTCGTCAGTACAAAGGTTACACTTAAAGCCAGGAGATAAGACAAGATTACATAGGAGGTACATAAGATCATGGCATCCGGTCCCATCACTTCACAGCAAATAGATGGGGAAAAAAATGGAAACTGTGACAGACTTTATTTTCTTGGGCTTCAAAATCACTGTGGATGGTGACTGCAGTNCTTGCCCCTTGGAAGAAAAGCTATGAGTAACCTAGACAGCATACTATAAAGCAGAGCCATTACTTTGCCAATAAACATCTGTCTAGTCAATCTACGGTTTTCCAGTAGTCATGTATG